ATATATATGCATTCTGAATAAAGTTGCAGAATAGATGAAAGGTTATCATATACCAGTACCATTTCTGCTTGGCTATGAATTAATATTCACATGCAAAAAATAAATATTTTTATATACTATTAGCTATCTGTGGGGCGCATAGCATAGTGCCTTAAGGCAAATTGCTGGAACTTCCCATACCGTAATTAAACATTCGTAGATAAAATAATCAGTCAACAAAAATGTCTATGAATAAATATTAAAAACTAGAATTTTCATTAGTTGTTCCTTGTAGACAAATGTTAAAACCTATTAGATTAGAAGACGTTGTTATATGTTTGAATGAAATATATATAAACAAAATCTAATTAAGCGGACTTATTGTTACCTGAACATATTTTATTTCAAATGCATCGATTTTTCGTTCGCGAAATATATGCGCTGAGTTAACAATTGTAAATAGTTCATGTAGTATCAACTACACAAACATAAAAAGTTAAATATGGATTCTTCGGATACAAAATACAGAAAAATACATCATAATATAATGATCATATGACCATTTGTCAAGATGAAAATGAAAGAAATTTTTAGTAAGCTTATGCTAAAGTTATTTCCTTCAACTTCATGTAATGCTTGACTTATAGACCTAAGTCTGTTTTTACAGTCTTTTTGTACACGGTTTTGATATAACACGGTTTGAAAATTGAATATTTTAATTTTTTTACATGATTTTATTCCATTTAGCACGATTTGAAATTTTATGTACTTAAATTTTTCATCAAATTTAATTTTTGCAAAGTATGTTCATATCACAAAAAGTATTTATGAAAGAAAAAGTCTGAAACCATCGATAGTATCGATAGTTTGCGAACACTAGCTTAAAGATTAAGTGAATTCCCTTTAGCGGTACAAACAATTTTTACTGGTCAAAGCAAATGTGAATAGCACTAATTTAGGGGAATTATTACCCATTTTTGTATAAGATCAATGTCTTTTTTACATTTTTTTTTTTTTACACGGCTTCTTCTGGAACCAATCTCCGTGTAAAAACAGACTTAGGTGTATTTATTTTTTTATTTATTTAATGCCCCTGGCAATATTTTAGAGTTTATTAACATTTTCATACCATTTATTCTTTAGTAAGCAATGAAATTTTAGATGAATTATGTTTAGATGAATTTACCACTTGCAACCATTTGGAATGAAATTATAAATTTTTCAAAGGGTCGAGATAATGATTTTCTCACCTATTTATAGCATTATATTTGAAACAATCTCTGGTATTTTTGGTCCATTATTATTGAGAATGCCCAATGTCATTACTTTTGCTTCAGAATTAAAAATATCATAAGAGTTTACTAGAAGTACAAATCCATTTTGATGTATGAAATATTTCTTAATTTTTAAAAGTTCTTTAAGAATAGCATTGATTATTTATTGATCAATAAGTGATACTGCCGGATAAACTGTATCAATGATACGGGGCCCCTAATATAGCGAGATAAAATTAAAACTTTAAATTTTTGTCACAATTTTGATTAATTATAATAACAACGTATGTAAAGTTTCATCAAATTCGTTAAATCCGTTTTTAAAAAAATGCAATTTCAGAAAAATTCACAAATAGAAAATGATAAAAACATTCTTTCAATTTCTTGCATTTTTTTTATTTTGTGAAAAATCTTTACTTTAGGAGAGCCCCTAAAAAAATTTGATACAGAGTGTTGTATGTGCATTTGATAATAATTGGCAACATATAAATACCTGTCCAATATTTTATCATCATCATAAACTTCGATTAATTTCAATGCTGCATCTCTGCCAACACCTCCGACTCCTTCAGGGCAGTAATCACAACCGCAAAGCAGTGCTAGGCAAATTATGTGATTACGTCCAATTTCTGTAAACAAAAAATAAAAGTTGCAGACAATTGGTAAAAAACTATTGAGTTCAATATAGTAAATTTAAAATATTACTTTTTACTTCCTGAATTTTTTTCAAATCATAAACATCAACTGATCCACCTTGTGTATTTTGTTGAGATATACAGAAATTTCTATACACACGTGTTGCTCCGTAGCCAAAACAATCAGAGTCTTGACTAATTATTCCATCTACGTACTAAAAAAATAAATGAATAATATATTATCTTTAAAAATATGAACTAAATAAAAAAAAAACGCATTTATTTATGTATTTTAACCTTTGAATATAGTTTCAAACACATGGTATATACCTAAAGAATTTAAACTACGCATTTATTACCTTCAACTCATTTAAATAGGCACAAAATGCTTCTGCTTCACCAGGACCAGAAACGCATTTGAGACCTAATGCGTTAAGTAGTTTTTCACATTGCTTTTGCACTGCATTAAACCTAGACCTGTTTCCAGTCTTCTTCTGGCTTTTCTCTTTATTAGTTTCTATATTTCTTGGCTTGGCACCTCGGAATTGAATCTCATTTCTTTTGCTCATGGTATTTGATTTCATTGAGGGTGCTTTCCCTTCTAATACAAATACTGGCACAGCACCGATCATGAGCAAGCAACATGTTCGAAAAAAAAATTACTGTAGAAGAAGACATGATGATATAAGTTGACATCTTTGAGTGTAAATTAAATAAAGCATTATCTATTATACAGAGCTATGTAAAACTACCGTATGAACATGTGAGGTTGAACATAGTATTCAACTATATTTTGACTGTCACAAATCCATCCTGATAAGTCAATTGCAACAGTCTTTCCTTCTAATTGATATAGCGGCCTGCGTTCACTAAATGGCTCTAATATGGTCCATAATTCTTTAATCCCCATTTTAAAATCTTTGAAATATTCTGTGTTAAAATAATATTCTCATATAACAAATATTGGTAAAAAATTATTCTGTTGATGCGATAAAAATAACATTTTATATAATATTACTAGCTGCTAGTCAATAATCAATAAACATATTTACATAATTGAAAAATTACATTAAAATATAAATAATAAAATTTTTAATTTCAATTTTATAAAATGAAAACAAACAAGTAGAAGCAGTACGTCAGTTGCAAGAAGAGTGAAGTTAGTTAAATGTAAAAAACTAGCGCCACTGCGGTGCCTTTTTAAATCTAATCACCTTGATTGGCGCGTATTTTAAAATACAGATTTCCAAGTTTTTTTTTCAATTAAATTTAGGTTAAACAAAAAATTGAACACTCAAAAACAGTTTACTCCAGTTTTATCTTTTTTAATATAGTACATACTCAACTTTTTAATAATTTCCATAATTAATGCATCAAATCTAAAACTAATTATGACGTATTTTCTAAACATATTAATGCAGGTACTCATTAAAAAAAACAATACACAATATTCTTATAATATTGCAGCATCCGAATGGAAGAGTTGTTTTTCTTTATTAAAGTACTTTGAAGTCTTAATTGTCAAATTTCGTAACATAACCTTAATTAAAATAAACAATTAGTAATCAAGATTTGGATATGAATATGAAAATAAAAGCTGCTTTAATAGACCTTAGTGGAACTTTGCATATAGGCAATTCCATAATTCCCAACAGTATTAATGCATTAAATGAGTAAGCTTAACATTTTCAAAAACAGGATTTATTCATCACCAATTAAATATATATATAGAATTCTGTTCTTACTTATCTGTTTAGATTACAAAGTTCTGGATGTCTAGTAAGATTTGTAACAAATACTACCAAAGAAAGCTCCAAAGCTCTTCATGGCAGATTACAAAAACTGGGATTTCCTATAAAAAAGGAAGAAATCTTCACAACATTAACTGCGGCTAATAATATAATAACAGATAGAAAATTAACACCGTTAATGCTTGTTGCAGAAGAGGCTCTTGAAGATTTTACCTGCAATGAAAATCAAAATTCAGAAGAATTTGATTCTGTCGTGATCGGTTTAGCACCATCAGAGTTGCACTATGAAAAATTAAATGCAGCATTTAGGTAATAATAGATATATGGATATATATATATATATATATATATATATATAATTCACAAATAATATTTATAGTTAGTCATATAGACTAATATATATGCAGAATATTAACAAATGGCGGACAGCTTATAGCCCTTAATACAGGGAAATACTATATGAGAGAAGATGGGTTAGCTATCGGAGCAGGGTTTTGTAAAAGGTTTAGAATACTCAGCACAAACTAAAGCTGAAGTTGTTGGAAAACCAAATGCTTCATTTTTTAAATCTGCTGTTCTCGGGCACAATGTTACATGTGAAGAAACAGTTAATGATTGGCGATGTAAGCTTATATTATAAATATTTTACAATTATATATTGAAAATGATTTATAAAATGTGCAGGACGTTACTGATGACATTGAAGGAGCTCTCAAAATAGGCATGAAGGCTGTACTAGTGAAAACTGGGAATATAGGCCTGATGACGAATTAAAAATTTTGCCACTGAAACCAACTGCTGTTGTTGATTCTTTTCCAGAAGCTGTAAAATATCCAAAGTCTACTATAATGAAGTGATGTAGTTTATTTAAATGAAGGTCAACAATATTTTATTTTGATTGATGTAATATTTTGTCTATGAATTTAGATTTTAAAATTATTTAAAACATGTCTAGTAAATTGTTATACATTCAATTAAATAGAAGCTTTGTAGTATGATTTTAATAATTTATATGTTTAAAACATATGTTAATATAGTGAAAATATTACAGCAATATTTTAATAAATTATATATAAAAGTTCAATCAGCTAAAATATTTTTCACAATAGCAAGAGTGCAGTGTTAAAAAAAAAGTTATATAATGTTAAAAAATATCAAACTTTGCAGAGTATCTGTAAAATTTTGATCCAAAGTATATATTTTGAAAAATAAATTATAAAATCAAAGCATTAATTATCTTTCATATGAACAACTATATCATTTAGAAATTATGGAAAATTCTATTGTTGCTAACTTTTGTGTAAATATTAATTAATTATTCAGTAACAATAACATTCAATTTTTTTAAACATTTATAACAAAATTTACATTCCTTTACTCACATATCATACATTATCTTCAATTATTTCTTCTTTTTCTTAGGTTTTCCTCCAATAGGTGCGGGAATCTTGAACACGGTTCTGCAATAAACAAATTTTTATACTCAAAAGTTTATATAATTAATTGACAATATTTAAAATGTATTTATATACTCACTGGCAAGTTGTACATATTGGACTGAATTTGCAGAAAACTAAAAGCAAAAAATTCATTTAAAAAAAACTCATAAAGAATGCAATTCAAAATCAAAATCAACATACTTGAAAGACACACGGAGCACACAAAACCTATATCTATCAACTCTCTATGACAGAAGCATGCCGCACGATAATCAATTTTAACAGGTGGAGGTAGAACTAACTTACATCTCACAGGCTGTTCAGGTAAGAATACCCACTGCAACACATAAACCCAACATTGTTATATAAAAATTTCAATATTTGATAAATATAATACTTTACCAAAAGATACTGCAGAAGTCCTTCATAATGAGTTTGTGGTAAAGTTAAATATTGGCCTCCTGTAATGTCAGTACCTTGCTGCAACAAACTTAACGTGGTCGTACTGTCTAATGAACATACATCTAATATAACATTTAATTTATGGGCTGTGAAAAATACATTCATGTAGGTCATGTACTGAGATGCTAGGTAATGACTACTTCCAGTTATGATTAATATTCTTGAGTTCATCCGAGTGCCGGGGACTAGTGATCTTTGAACCTATACAAATTATATACACATAATATATCGAATTTATAACATTAAGTATACATTTATTAAAATTTTTTGTTTACCCGAGCAATATAGCATAAAGCCATAGACATAGCACCAGCCAATAGGGATTCTTGAGAATGATTACTTGTTTTTTCATTCAGAAGTATTTCAGCAAGCTTTTGCTTAACAGTTTTCTCAACCATTGTAAAAACTTCATATTGACCATCAACTTGCCTGATATCTAGCTGATTTCTCGGATTTGGAAATAAAAATTCCCTAAAATTGTTCTAAACTCTTAAAATTCTACAAGAAACTAAACAGTAAATAAATATTAGTATGCAGGTGCTTGGCCAAAATATAAGGAGAAAAAGAGCAATTCAAGTAGAGGTTTGAAACATATAAAGAGATTTTTATTATTCTTACGTTGATGTTGAATGGCAAGCTAACACGGCTAATTTGTTCTGAGCCTTTTGCATAAGATGTGCATTTCCAAATGCAATTGTAGATTCTACACATTGTGTCCACATCTGCGGACATTTTTTAAATATGCCTTGGGACGGATTTGTGTCGAGTATAATAGTTAGTAAGCTTATATCTTTACTTTCTGAAAAATAAAATTAATTAAACAATATATACCAACAAATTGGAAATAAAACTATAAAAAATTAAAACACCTTGACTCATGCTTAATGTAAAATATTATGTATAATAAGCATGAACTTTAATTGTTTAACAAGTTTTTTTTTAATAAAGTACTTTTTGACATTTGTTCCGAAATTCAAAATTATACGAAGACGAAGTGGAGTGAAGTTAGCATTACGATTTGACATTTGAGGAGTTGACATTTGACAGTTGACAGTTGACAGTTGACAAAATGGTTATATCTTTCTGTTCTTGATCTTTGCAAAACATAAAATAAATATAAAAATGAATGGCTTTGATAAATAAAACGAATGCTCGATTTATTCACAATATTTGTCACTGTTGCTTGTGGGAAAAAATGAAACTGGCCAACAATAGTTTTTAGCTTTGTGAATAAGGTTGGAATTTGAATTATTATTACTTGGTACCTTAAATCAATCTTGTCACAATATTAATAATTATTTATACAATAAATTATGCATATATTCTTTAAATAATTATTTATACATATACAAATTATTTAGTCATTCTTGGCTATAGTATAATTGATCTGGATAATTAATGTAAATTCAATAGAATTCTTAGTGGATAATGTTTGATCTTAATGTAAAAGATCTACTAAAGATAAAATTATCTAAGGATTATTGCTAATCATTAATCTTTTATATAAATATTTACAGTTTTAGATTTGTTGAAAATCTTTTAGAGCCATAAATCATGTCAGACGAAGAAGTTATAAGAAGGCGGTTGTTAGTAGATGGTGATGGAACTGGCGATGACAGAAGACTGAATATATTGTTTAAGACAATGCTGAAATGGTGTAACTCTACAGAGGACATGGAAGAAAGGTATCATTTATCTATTTATCTAGATCTAGAAACAGGAAAAAAAATTTATGAACTTGACCTTTTTAGTTTGATTGTTAATCTTATTTTATTATTATCCTTTCTAGTTATGCTACGCATGACAAAATGCTGGCACTACTCACACAGTGTGAATATGCTGTGACAAAGTCACAATTATCAGCTGAAATGACTGCTTTAGAATTGCGTCAATATGAAACTATGTCAGCTGCTATAGAAAAGGGTGTTATTGATGCTCGATCACACATAGAAAGTAGTAAAGAAGAACTAAGGGTTGCCAAAACTATTAGAAGTAATAGAATGCAATACGATTCCCTGGCTCGAATCATTGCAGAACATCCAGATAGACAGTGAGTAATAAAATAATACTATATAATGTTGAATATATTAATTTAAAATTCTCAAAGACTAAATATATTAATTTTCTTTTTTTTAGAGCTACTCAAGAACAACTAGACAAGCTCTATTCAGAAATCGATACATTGAATAAAAAATATAAAACCTTTCAAGAAAGGCTTGATGAACGGAAAAAAGAATTCAATGTATTTGTTACATCTATGCATGAGTTATTGGCAATGCTGGACAGTTCGGATAGTACACCTGATAATGATTTGAGTTTAGAAGGATTTGAAGATGTAATCGATATGGATCGTTATGGTGATATGGATGATTCAAAAATGGATGAATGATCACTACACATTTGTACTTACAAGGAATAAAGTATTTGCCTGTGTATGTTTTATATCGGTATGCTTATTGTATTATTTTTTAAGAAGATATGCGATGTGTTGAAATTTTGAACATTATTCACGTGTCATTTTTTATACTTTACTATAATAATAATAATACTTCAGGAATTATTTTTTAGTTTTATTTACTAATATAAACTTAAATATAAACCTAAATAAAAAAAATGACTGTCTTAATGGGATATTGTAATATTTATATGTAAAAAAATTAATGGAACATGAAAACTGTGGAATTAAATGACAAAATTGAAATCAGATAAATTTAGAGTCATAAACTAGCCTTGACAAGGCCTTGCTGACAATATATATATCTACATATATATAAAAATAAGTCGGGTTTTCCTTCCTGACGATATAACTCCAAAACGCACAAACCGATTTCGACAATTTTCCATTCGTTGGAAAGGTCTCTGGCTCCGCAAGGTTTATAGCTAAGAAAATTAGTGGTGCATGCATCGTGCCCTAATGCAAATTGCTGGAACTTCACGCACCGTAATTAAAAATTCGAGTAAGACATTAGTGAGATTATCAGAATTATGCTTGGTTAAGTCAACGAGCAATTCTTGCCGCAAAGGATAATGATCCACACGCACTGAATTTCACCATTCAATCAAAAAGTGCTGGCGATTTGGTGATATACCAATGATTCCGACTGGTTTTCCGTTTGACTTCAAACGATTGCAATTTCCAGTTCGCCTCGCGTTCGCAATAACAATTGTTATTTACTGACTTAAGTCGCTTAGTGTTTGCGGAATAAATTTCAAATAGATTATTTAAAAAATCATTGTTTTTCACATGGGCAGTTGCCTGTTCACGAGTTGGAAAACCATCCGCTTTGTTTTTGTTAACGTCACACCAAAAAACAAAAAATGTGGTTTACCAAAGAGCACTTCAATGAAACGGATAATTTGCGAATTCACTTTCATTTACTTAAAGAAATTCAACTAAAAAACACTTCATTTTTGTAATCGAAATAAATTCATTACTGTTGTGTAATAAAATCAAATTTTTCCTTTTCAAATATAAGACAAACAAAAAATTTCTTCATCTTTCTCACGAAACCATCTGGTGGCGAAACGGAGTTCGTCGGGTTTGCTAGTATATATATATATATATATATATATATATATATATATATATATATATATACACGTATATAATAAAGCGGTACCCCGACTTACGAGTGTTTCGAAATACGAGCCGCCAAAGGAGCGATTAGTTGCTTCGACATACAAGCAAAATTTGAGATATGAGCTTTGAACAATATAAAATTAATCTTAATGAGAGAAATCTTAAACTTTTCCCCAAAACACCAATATAATTTTTTGTACTTTATTTGTAATTGCTTTTTATTGTCCTTGATATGCAATCTCCAATTAAATTCTTGAAAACCTCTTTAAAATGTTTCACATTTATCCACGATTTTTCTGTTTTTCGGATATATAATGTACAATTTCAAACACAAAATTTAACTTGATCAATATCTTATCATTTCTGAAAAATTCAAAATATATTTTCCATTTTCCTGTTGGAAGAAAAAATGAGGGAAGCATGTCTTCATCCACATGCAAATATCCGTAGTAAGTATCCTGAAACAACATTTTATACACTGAGCACCTCAAGTGCGGTTTCATAAATTAAAATATTTACAATAATAGATTATTATGCCGAATAAAAAAATTAATGTACCGGAACTACCGGACATTGTTTCGGAAACTTCTGACCAGGTCCATACACTATGTCCAGAATCGGTTTTTTGAGTTTCTCGAAAACTTGAGAAGCAAAACCTGGCTCATTTGATGGTGCCAATGTGTTAACAAATCTGCATAAATCTGTACCGAACTTGGGAAATGATTCCTTGAATCTATTGCTGACTAATTGGTAAAACTGACCATACACCTGTGAAAGAGTTCAATAATCCTATTACATTCAAAGATATTTTTAATAAAATTAAATATCGACTATAACAGCGTTTCAGGAGAACTGAAAATATACTTTTTTACTCAATGAAATAAAACTTTTTTCATTTTCGTCACTACCTTATTTTTTATTTTAATTAATGTTAGTTTTAATTTATTTTCCTGACTTCATATTTTTTGTCGTTTTTTCAGCAAATGTTAAGCTCACATATGAAACTTACGTTCCGAACAATTGCTTTTTATATTATTTTTATTTTTATGTCATATCTATATGAGTAGTATACTTACATATACTGATTCAATAGATTTAATAACAGTACCATTAATTATCAAAATTGAATAGGTGCGGTTCAGTTTTTTTACCGAAAAATCATTGAATTTGGTGAAGTTTTCATCAGCAAATATTGGCTTTGCCGAAAGGAAGTTGAGCCTGTAGTTTGTCTGAAAAATAAATATAAATTGAAAAAATAAAAGTAAATTACCAGATTATAAATAGAAAAAAAAACGTAGAACTGAATATTTTTAACTGAAAAAAAATATAATGGCAAGGCAAACTATAATTAAACATTTTTTAAATAGTACCCTTAGATATGCTAATAATACACTAGAGAACACATTTGTGTCAAGTAATATGTTTCAAAGTTGTCGGAGTTGTGGAGTTGTTAAGTAGATATAACTGGAAGTGGAATCAAATCTTAACCGATCCGTCTTCGGATATGATAAACTCAACTCTAATACATATTTTGATACTTTACTAATTATTACTTACCCAACAACTCACACTGCCCAAAAGTACAAATATTGCTAACAAAATCTGGTATTTGTACATTATGTCGCATAAATACATAGTGTCCATAAACTTGTTTAAAATACAATTATAACAAAAGGAGTGTGCAGACAATGACAATTCTTCATTTTCCATTTCCTATTTAATAATTGTTTATCATGCCGTGACTATGTGAAAATAAATAATAACTATATTAGACCGGATTTCTACACGTATATTAGGTTTGTTTTCAACGAGCTAAGTAATTATAGATATCTATATTCAAAATCAATGCGTAATATCATAGCCTATAAGTTAAGACAAAGTTTTCAACAGTTATGCTACTTCTGCAGTTTTCTATATCATTTATATGAATCTGCAATATATATAATTAATTATATGAATTATAGTGCACAATTATGCCCTTGTATGTCCTAAGAGCGCTGCCCATTATTCGAAACATTAATTTAATGTTTATATTACAACTACTTTCATAGATCAGAATTATAAAATTACATCATAGTAATCATAAAAACTAAAAGCCCGGATATAACTCCGGTCGGACATGACTCGTAATTTTAAGTGTTGACCAAAGTAAAAACGCAAAACTTGGAAATCAAATTCAATTTAAAAATTTTCTTTTGACGAGAAAATAATTGATTTTGTGGATTATCTTCTATATATATAAAAATAAGTCGGGTTTTCCTTCCTGACGAAATAACTCCAGAACGCACGAACCGCTTTCGACAATTTTGCATTCGTTGGAAAGGTCTCGGGCTCCGCAAGGTTTATAGCTAAGAAAATTAGTGGTGCGTGGCATCGTGCCCTAATGCAAATTGCTGGAACTTTACGCACCGTAATTAAAAATTCGAGAAATAAAAATAATCAATAATTGTTTTATATAATTGCAAATACATTATCTTCTATATATATAAAAATAAGTCGGGTTTTCCTTCCTGATCAAATTTTTCCTTTTCAAATATAAAACAAACAAAAAATTTCTTCATCTTTCTCGAAACCATCTGGTGGCGAAACGGAGTTCGTGACTCGTGACCGATCGGGTTTGCTAGTTTTATATAAAAATAATGTAGTAAACTTGTAAACTTTAATAACTTTGTAAAATAATTGTTTTGTATAAACAATGTTTTGTATTTGTAATAAAAGCAACACATTTATCATAAAATATTTTCACCAAATAATAATACTTCTGCTTTCTAATTTTTCTTCTGCTATTTTCATTCGCGAATTATATCAGGTAGTTTGATTAGCATATTATTACTTCTACACAATTATATAATTTTGTAAAAGTAAAAATTTAATACTATATATTTTTTGCTGCTTAAATACTATTAACGTCACTGATATATTGTGCACTTTAAAGTACTGTTATTTCAGGCCATGGAAAAACCAGATTAAATGTATTTTGTTTCGTGTATTTTTCGGTATGTATATTCCTGATTGCCGTTATTCACGGCCAAGCATTGTCGTTGTTAAAAATAAGACCCCTTACTATTCAATAAATTATACATTGGAACTATACACACTTGAACACAATTTTCATTGTTCTGTATCTTTGAAGTAATATTTTTGTATTTTCTGGAAAAAAACCGTATACCTAAAAGGTCATAAAACTGCCTGTGAGACGAGAAAGCGACAGCTTCCTTCTCAAAGCAAAAAACGCAGTAACAGATTTAGTACCAGTTTGGGGAAGTCGGATATGACAAATCCACACTGACGACACTGCCCGGAGTTATATCCGGGCGACTGGGCAATTCCGCCCGGATATAACTCCGGCCGGATATGTACCCGCCCGGATATAACTCTGGTCGGATATGTATCACCCCATATAGTACACTGCGCTCCAAAATATTTGTTTTCTACCATTAAAAAACATTTAACACTATACTGGCTTAAAGAGCAGCAGAAACCTTTTGAATATAACGAACAGGCGACGAACGCCAACGTCTCTATGTCAAGAATCCATAGATAAAAGAGAGTGGCCACTACTTATAATTTTTGTTAACAGCGGCGCTAAAATTTTGAAATGAGAACACAACTTTTCTTTAGATTTGCACAATGTAGTTTGTTTTGACAGCCAATGTCAAATGTCTGAAAAATGGTTATTATTTTTGTATAAATTTGATTTTATTTTATATTCTGATTTAAATTATTTGTAAAATGCTGTTTGCTTCTAATAATATACTTTTACCAGTTACATATATTGAAACCATCATGTAGTTTTATTCTCAGAACGCAAAATTACTCAGTTGGAAGTTTCTTTAGTCGTGTTATTAATAAAGCAAAAACTAGGTAAATGTATGCATATTTCACATGTGCAGAAATATTTAATCTGGTTTATGTATATCCATACAAATTTCCCACACTTTTTTCTAAATTATATTTGAGAATGTGACATGTTCTATTAATAAATTTTCTAATAATAAATGGTCTTAGAATAATCAACCGCTATTTTTGTAAATAAAAGTAAATTACTTCAAATGCCCAAAATATATGAATCTGCTTATAAAATTTAGGTCCCAAAGCCTTAATTATTTTATGTTCTTAGAAAAGATAATGGATCATTTAAACACGTTAGGCCTGGAAATGTCAGCGAATTAAGACATGTGCCAAGTTATATAAACAGACCTCAATATGTAATTCAACAAAAACATATACCAGGACCTCAGCAGCCAGAAATTAAGACCCACTGATCAAATTGCATCGATGAAAGAATCTTGTAAACTTGCAAGAATGATTCTGAATGTTATAGGAGAAAATATAAAAGTAAATTATCCAAAATTAATCTATGACTGGTTGTAATTTAAACGTTTTAATTTTATCTGATTGTTTATGTTATTAGATTGGGCGAACAACTGATTTTCTAGATTCTATAGCACATGATATATGCTTATCAAATGGGGCTTATCCATCTCCATTATTATATATGGATTATCCTAAATCCATTTGTACTTCGGTAAATAATGTTGCTTGTCATGGAATTCCAGATGACCGGCCTTTGGAAGATGGTGACATTATAAATGTTGATGTTACAGTAAGTAATAATATATATTGTAATGCATCAATCGGATCAACGCATAACTTTATTTGAATCATTAGAAATCTATATTGTTCAGTATAGGTGTTCCTGAATGGTTATCATGGTGATTGTTCTGAAACATTTTTAGTTGGCAATGTGGATGAAGCGGGGAGATATTTAGTATCAAGCACCAAAGAATGTTTAAAGGAGGTGAGAAAATAATTATATATGCGTATCACCTGTATATAATCTTTAAATATATATGATTTATAAACAAATGTTTTTATAGGCAATAAGTATTTGTCAACCTGGTGTCAAATTTAGTCAAATCGGTCAAGTAGTAGAAAACTTTGCTAAATCTCATGAACTAACGGTTTGCCCAGCATTTTTGGGACATGGGATAGGCCAATATTTCCATGGTGCTCCAGACATATTCCACTGTCGTAAGCATTTATTTTTACTTGTTCAATAAATAAATGATAAAGTACATTTTATCCAGAAATCTTCTTTTATCAATATGATTGAACTGCTTATTTTTGCATACTTTTATATATTATATTAAATAAGGATCTGGCAATGAAGTAATTATATTATTAGTTTTTTCCCTCACTTATTCTTATCTCTACGTTTTAGGTAATTCATATCCTGGCACAATGGAACCAGGTATGACGTTTACTATAGAGCCAGTATTATCACTCGGATCATCTGGATTTATAGAAATTTTAGATGACGGCTGGACTGCAATCACAGAGGACAATTCAAGAACTGCACAAGAGGAACATACTGTACTAATAACAGATAAAGGATGCGAAATTTTAACACTATAAAATATAGTACTGACGTCTTCATTTTCATCAAGCTTAATTTAGTTTTTATAAAACAAATTTTTGTTACTCAGTTATCAACTCTAATGAATATTTAAATTGTATTCTTCAATCAATGAAAATGTTGTATAGCATTTAATATCATATTTGTGTTTTGTACAAGTGAATTTTGTGAATATTCATCAGAGATATCATATGTTTTTTCTATTGCTTTTTATATTTATCAGTTTCACTGTTGTCACATGTTGAACAATGTTATGAACAATTTAGTTCCATATTAAATGACTTCAATTACAATTGAAGAACAGAATTCTTTCCTTTCTTATTCCGATTATACAACTTTACTTGACTTCATACAAAATTGATCACATGGTAAATTAAATTGAACAAACACGTCTTCTAGAAGTTGGGATTATCTGATTCTGGTGAATGAGTTTATGATAAATGAGAAATATTTAATGTAATGTTTTAAATAATAAATGTGATTGTTTTTTATTGTGATATTTCTCACAGCATCAAACATTTAACACAAGTTTCTGCAAGTCGTATTAAAAGCATAACTTTCTTTGAAAGTAAAATAAACCAATAAAATATTATCACTAGTCCTAGTCATATTATTACTTCATGAATTATTACTCTGATTTGGCAATTAATATATATTGATTTTATATATGAATTATTACCATTGAAACTTTTTATTTAAATATTTATAATGGTAAATTTCAAGTGCCAAAACAATTATTAATCAAAGATTTGACTTTCATTAGTCAACATTGATTAATCAAATTAAAAGTAATTACTTAAGTAGGCTGGTGTTGAAATGTGTATAATAAAAATTTCAAGATTACTACTTGTTAATTTCAATATAAAAAGGAAACTTGTATAAGATATGTTGCAAAATGCATTATACTCACTTTGGCCTAATATTGTGCAAAATATTACAAATTCTATAATGGATAGTGCAAGTGCGTGAGTCTTCTTTTATATATTCTAACATCAGTTTCATTTTAATTGACTTCTAAAACACTCATTCAAATTATATTCGTGACTAAATATATATTTTCTTTTTAAATAAGACGTAAAACGTAAACTAACATTGCCACTTTCGAGCAGAATGTTCACTCACTTCATTCATTGTTATTCAAATAATTTATCAAAGATTTCGGTTTGTGATTTAGTTAATTTGTCGCTAGGGGCGCTATTGTTGCATTGTGAAGTTAGGCGCGTATTTAACTAATATGACAGCTAGACATCCCTTCGTTCAGAATGAAACCTGTCGTTTATGGTAAAGAGCAAGATCGAGCTTTGTTTTGATTATCACAAAAACACGTAAATGTAAATATTTGCAAAATATGTTTGGGAAAAATATACATTCTAGTGTTCTTAATCACAAGAGTGAATATCATTAAATAGATATTATTAAAAAACGCTGTGCGAAATTTTGATTGTGCTAGGTTATGTGTGAACAGAGATATACATGGTGGACTATAAGTGAGTCGATATAAACGAAAACAAAAAAATAACTTATTTAATATTGTGATTTTGTTTTGTTGAGAGTGCAATTGTGCTTTATATTTGAAAACTATTGTTATATTTATATAAAAACATTCTGGTCGCAGTACATAAGTATTAATAATAATAAATATTTGAAGAAGGCACAATGCAGCATTCATACAGAACCCACGATTCTAATAAATCTGTGAGTTTAGATACTTATATAAATGTAGATAGAAATACATTATATAATGCAATATATATATATATATATATATATATATATATATATATATAAATTTATTACAATATAGATTTATGAAGTTATGAGCTTATCTCACTATTACATGTAGTTTAATAAAAATGATAATTGTACTACAATATATGTTCTATCTTTGTATACTTTCTTTACTGTATTCAATTTACAAAGTAAACTATTTTTTAAAAGCCTTTCCTTTTGAATAAGTCGTTTTTAATGAGCTAAATTTCTCAATTTTTTAATTCAAAGTCATGTTCATCATTAAAAAGTTTAGTATAATAATCTTCTAATTTTTTTATTGAAACATTCTGTTCATTGAAATCCGATCAAACACTTAATTTGTACATTTTAACCAGAAAAAGATTGTATCTACAAAAATAATATAGATATTCAGAAAAAGGTATCCATATATGAGAAATCTTTTTGTTGCATGTATAATTCTATGTATATTCCTAGTTCATACCCAATCGAACCTCAAGAACCCTATTCAATGTATTTCGATCCAAGCAAATGTCATCATCTGGTAAATTAATCCTGCATCCTTCTCAATCCTCAAGAATTGTTTATCATCCTCCAATATTTTCCAAGCAGCTTCCTGACAGTTTGCGACAAGAAATTGCCAATCAACTGGCCAGAGAGTATAACATAGGAAAGGTGACGAAAAATTAATAATAAAAGTTGAAAGTTTTTCATTAAATGTAATATATATATATATATATATATATATATATATATATATATATATTATTAATTAATATATTAATAATCACCTTTGGCAAATTTGGTTTTAATTTGGGATTTGCTACTATTTGACATAAACAGTAAAGTCAGAGTAAAAACCTTGTAATCGTTTATATCTAAACAGCTTCTAAAAATGATGTAATATTAAGTACAACTTAATATTACAATTGTATCAATAAATTATAATTGTATCAATTATATTTCACCAGATAGACCAACTTGGAACATCAACCTCGACATCTCAATATCGATTATACAGCCAAAAACCACAAGAGGAAAAAGGCTCACAAACTCCGGAAAAAGGTTCAAAAGATGATGATCAAAATTTATCTCCATCTAAATTAAGAGCTAAATTGAGAGCCGAACTGGAGCAAAGGGCCAGATCTTGTTTGCATGCCGGATACAAGTAAGTATTATTCAATTACGGTACAGGAAGTTCCAGCAATTTTCCTTAAGGCACGACTAGTTGCTTTATAATGATGCCTAAAATAAATATGTAATCGAAAGTATTTTTTCCCTGTAGATGTAGCCGGCCACCAGCTACTCCTGCCAGCGACTATTGCGCTCTTCACATTCTGCAGGCAACTGGCAACAATGACCCCGCCCTGGTGCATTACACCCGTTGTGCCTATGTCTACTCGGTCAACGGCCGAAGGTGCCCCAATGCCGCCCCAAAGAAGCGCTCTTTGCAAAATTCGCTGGGCGCTACGGGTCCTACCAGAGCGCCGCATCAGATGCAAAATCAGAGGTAGGATGATAATAGAATTTTGGATAATTGGAATTTGAACTATTGACTTCCCGTAGGGTAGGTTATAGTAATCGCAAAAAAATCGAAAATTGAAATCTTTTATATATCTTTACACATGCACATGCACATCATATTATCAGACATTTTATAGATATTTTAATAATTTGAACGCATTTTGTGTCCATTTTTTTGGGTTTCGTACCAAGATTTTTAATTTTAAAATTTACTTTATATGGTTCAAACAAATGTCCTCAACAATTTCGACAGTATGGAATAACCGATTTGAATGATTGAAAAACATTTGGTTCGTAGTCAATCGCGAGGAGTTTTTGCAAAAGGCACGCCTGACCGTTTCGGAGGTATGGAGCACAAAGGGTGTAAAATGGTTATGCAGTTTCTGAGAGAACGGATCATCCGATTAGATTAATTTCAAAAATCATTTTGCTTGTGTAGACGGAGACGGTGTGGGAAAAAAGGTTTTACTGAAAATTTAAACATTTAAAAAAAAAATCAAAATTTGAAAATTTCGAAAAAATATTATAATTTAAAAAAAATCGATTTCTTACAAAAATTTTAGTTTATTTCGAACAAACGTTGCCAATTTCTCACAAAATTAAAAAAAAAAACGATTTTTTAAAAAATTCGAACTTTTAAGAAACTTTCAAAATTAAGAAGTGAAAAAAGATATTTGGCGGTCAAAAATGAGCAAGAGACGTATGCACATCAAATTATCAGATATTTGATGAAGTTTTTAAAAATGAGTACTAATTTTTTTGTTACAATTTTGTAGGGTTCCGTACCAAGATTTTTAATTTTTAAAGTTTAAGCAAATTTCAAAATTTTCCGAAAAAAAAATTCAAAATTTTCAAAAATATATTACAAAGTTTTATACTTCCAGTATGAATTTTAAATTTACAATTCAGTTTCAAAATGTATATATTTCAAATGCGTTATTCTAATCGTAAGAAATATAAGGTTGTCAAATATCTCCCTTCCGCCTTTTTGTATTAAACCGAGAGCAAAAAAGCGGAAGGGAGATATTTGACAACCTAATATATTCTCAGATGGATTTATTCGGCACCTCTTGTTAATGTAAACATTCTTAAGCACTTATGAGCGATCACTCTATATTATAGAAACGATAAAATATACAGTGATTATAATCATCTATTTGAATATGTATAAAACAATTGTTGTAAATCATCCATCAATTGTTATTGATTACTTATTTTTTCCCTCGAATGTTCAATTGTACGGAAAGTTCCAGCAATTTACCTGAAGGCACGATGTCATACACCACTAGTTTATATTATCTTATTTATGTTTCCAGTTACTGCTTCGAACACAGCAGACTCACTCAGCGTTCCCGGACGAAGCAAGTGGCGCGGCGGAAGCCCCCACAAGGCTTGGATTCCGCATTGTGTGGCTTATCGCACTATCTCGTTAAATCGTCGAATTTGAATCCAATGAAATCTGAGAAGAGCATAAATCCAAACGAAAGTAATCAGTCGTCACAATACTGGACACCCAATACTCGAGACAAAGAGGCGGAAAAGGAGAAAGAAACACTTAAAGTTGAATTAGATGAAAATGGAAAGATTGTTCCATTGGATCCAATGAGTAAGTAAATATTTAATTTTCGAATTTAATAATTGTGAAGAAATTATTAGTTTTTTATTCCAATATTTTATAAAAAAAAGTAAGCAAAATAAATATTACTTTTGAATATCTCAAATAAATTGGTTCTTAATTTTAATTCTA